AATACAACTAAGTGTGACCCCATTTAGGCAAGTAAAATAAAATAGTACATATTATACATATGTACATATACATGCAAAGGAAAGGTTTTAACCTAGAATGATGCCAACCAGCTGGGGGCTATCTTGGGATCAGAGTGTGCCTATGCAGTGAAGGGAGCTGAAAATGGCACTTGGACCTGTTCTTCTGTAAGTTCTGTGCTGTATGAATTTTGTGAGGGAAAAAAATAACATAGAAGAAGGAAGAAGAGAAGATGGAACTTAAGTAATTTGCCTAGAAGCAGTAGGGAAAAGTAGATTCAAGGCCAAGCTTTCTAAATCTGTGGGTGAGAGTGACCCGCATCCAAGAGGAAGTGAAAAAGGAAGATGTTCTTCATCATCTGTTGCTCATGCCAACGGCACGTAAACCCACGTTCAATGCAGCTTTAAAAACTCCCAAACTGCCAAATTTCTTTGGGAACAGTTCTGTGGTTTCTTATTTCAATAGGAAAATTAATATTTATGTCATTTTGGCCATTTACTTCTTCACAGAAATGCAAATAGCGAGTTCTCTCCCTGCTTCCTCTCCCTGCACTGTGGTCTTGGGGCAGACAAGCACTGGCACACTGGGCTGTCTCAGTGATACCCACTAAGCACGCTTGGGCCGAGACCAGAACTCAGCTCTTCCTGGTCCCAGCAGTGACCAGCCGGTTCTTTGAGCATTCTAGAATGCCACAACCAGACCTGCAAAAAGTCCTGCATCTTACCCTCCAAATTATATGAATCACAGCAAATTTCATTTTAATCATCCTTTAATACAGTACAGACAAAGCACATCTAAAAATGTATATTCGGTTTTAGAATAATGCCTGGAAGTATTTGTGGAAATAATGAATCGACATGAAGCTGAAACACAAATGGCACTTTCCCCTCCCTCGTCTTTCTCTATTCGGTTCAGTTTTGTTTTGCTTAGTCCCTCGCAGACCCTACCTAGCCTGGTAAACTCAGCACCAAGCAGCCCCCTTGAAATGTGGGCGTGAGGCCACTAGGTGGCGCGAGAGTTCCCTGCTGGAGGCTGGACACTGCAGACGCGTCAAGCAGAGGGCTCTGGGCCCGGCTGCCTGCAGGGTTGGCGTGGAGCTGTCTGAGCCTCGGCTTTCTAGTAAAACACAGGATGTTTGTGAAAGCCTCCAGAACAATTGCCTGCCTAATAACACAAACACTATCCTTTGGAAGAAAATCTACATGGCAAACATTTTTCTAGATGTTTCCCAACTTAAACTTCTGAACACAGACACCTCCCAGCAAAGCCATCGTTCATCAGCCTCAGGGGGGCGTGCTTTGCTTTGCTTACAAACTCGCTGCTCTTAAATCAGTCTAGAGCCAAGACAACATCTAGCTCATCTCCTGAAATAGAGCTCATCGACCTCTACTTCAATGTAAAGGATTGGGAGCTCTTGTCGCTTCCTGCTGGCTTATCTCTGGAGGGACAAATAGCTGATGTAACAGCCATCAGTGGCCAAATCTGGAAATAGGCAGCATTGGTGGCAAGACAGAGTGTGGGAATTTAACTAAAGATTCCCCCTGCACATACCTACTTATTTTCTTTTGCCCTTTCCAGCTACTTCCCCTAACTCCCTCTTCCTTTGGCCCCCCAAAACTACAAGAAAAACTGTTAGTGAACTCAAGGAAAGCCAGGTGAGCCTGTCAGTGTGACAGGTGACAAAGGATCTCTTTTTGACCTAACCTTAGTCAGGCCCCTGAACCTTCTCCTAGGCCCATCTGTGCAGTTCCTTGTAAAAAAAAAAAAAAAAAAAAACAGCTTTAGCAAGAAACCTGCTAAGCCAGTTTAGCAAGAATACCCCATCCTCAATATCTGATCACCTTCAATATCTGATCACCTTTGATACCTAACAGATTCTTCACCCCTCACCATCCCCCAGATGATGCCTGATCACGCTGGCCTGTCTCCAGCCAGAATCCTGTTAGCTCAGTTTAGCCAGAATCCCCCTTACACCTGACATTTCCTCTTAGTAATTTTCTACCCACTGACCACCCCCCTGCTCCTTGGCTATAAATTCCCACTTGCCCATGCTGCATTCAGAATTGAGCACAATTCCGTACTGAGATCTCTTTTCCCCTACTGCAATTGTCTTGAATAAAATCTTTTTTAATGTGTTAAAAACGGCCCACTTCTGGTTGTTCTATGACACAGGGTAATTTTTATTCTATATGATATTTGCCTTACCTCCTCAACCTACAACCTCGCAGCTGTGACTCTGTACAGGAGCCAGACAATGCTTCTCAACAGACAAGAAGAGACTGCCCTGGAGGGAAAGAATGGCTCTAGGTGGGAGGAGAGAGCCCAAGCAGAGCCCTGGCACCTGCCACCGCCTCTCTAGGCTGAGTTCTGGGAGAGGTGAGTGACAAGGGTGGAAAGGACTTGCACCTTGCTTCCAGACGAAGCCCAAGGAGGCTCCAAGCCTTAAGAGACCAGAAACGGCAGAAACGGTAGAAAGGTCTGGACGGAAGCACACCATGTGGACACACACATGCACAGTTTGCAGTGGCCCCAGGAAAATTCAGGAGAACATCCAGAAGCTTCCCTAGTCCATATTTCAGCAGGGAGAGAGGCCACAGGCCTGGAAGCTTGTCGTCAGGACGAGGAGAACACAACTGTCCTGCAGCGGGAACAAGGAGGAGCGAGGTCACTGACCGACCACACACCAACTGGCCAGGCACCGTCAGCAGTTCCCAAAGGCCATAGATGCGCTGCCCCTCCGCAGCCACAGCCCCATGCTACATAAACCCCTCCACATCATGGGTGACCCCAAGGGAGAAAAGGGGGGAGGAGTGAAACCCCAACTTGGCTGAGTTTAAATGTAAAATGACTGCAAAAATTGTGGAGTTGCCTGAGCTTACCTAAAGGAGGCTAGATTAAGTTTTCCGCCAGAACTCAAAAGGAAGCCGTCAACTGAGATTAAAGTGAGTTATAGGATAACGTGCTCCCTGAGGGCATGGCCTGTGAAATGTGTTCATTACAAGGGAAATGACTGAAACCCATGTTCTTAGCTACGTTCAGAGCTATGTTCAGGCTGACTCCTATCTCTGGAGCTTGCACAAAGGGCTGGGTGGGGATCCCTGTTCAGGCAGAGGTTGCAATGTTTAAAAGGAAACAGGTGAGCCCTGGGTGATCACGGGGACATTCTACAAGTTTACCTGTAAGGCAGGTAGTATAAGCTTCACTTTTCAAATGTGGAAACTGAGGCTCAAAGCCGCTAAATGGCCTCTCCAAAGTTGCTCAGCTGGTGGAGAGCAGAGCTTGCACATGAATTCAGCAATTTTATACCTGGAGCTGGCTCTCTTTTTATTGTATCGCATTATAACTTTGATATTTGAAATGTTTAACTTTCTTCAATCAAAAAATAAAAATAATTATTCATAACAACTACCATGCCATCTAACTTCTTGCCAATATTTTCGGCATCCCAGGCCAGGGTTAATTTCAACTCCTTAAGGGTTAGCCATGGCATCAATCCCCAACAACCAACCTTCCAGAAATGTCTCCCCATCTCTTCATTTGCACACCTTCACCACCCTGCACAGCACCCAGTCACCACAAGTGGCTATTGAGCACTGGAAATGTGACTCATCAGAATGGAAATGTAAAGTGTAAAGCACAGCAGATTTCAAAGATGAGGGACTTAATAATGTAAAATATCTCAATTTTTATACTGATTATGCGTTCAATTGATAACACATTGAATATATTGGATTAAATAAAACACAATTAAGTCCTCACTTGACTTCCTCAATAAGTTCTCAGAAACTGCAACTCCAAACAAATTGAAGTACGACAAAACCAATTTTTTCCCTCATCCATGTTACAATGAAACGAGATTGAACGAAAGGACATTGTTCGAGGATCTGTTGTGTACCTGTTTCGCTTAAAGTCGCAGTTTCCAAGAACGCGTCGACGACCTTAAGAAAGGACTTACACTCTACTTTCTGTTTATGGGAACATGCGCAAGCTACTTTACACATTAACTGCCACGTGGTTGTATTTTAACTCACGATAGTTTTGAGCCTAGGGCCTCCTACACAGAAAACAATTAAAAAAACAAATTTTTCATTAAATCAGAAAGGATCGTTTTGTTGTAGAAGTTTTTTATTCTATTTTGGTAATAAAACACCATGGGCCTAAGGAAAAGTTTTGTTTCCAGTGTGGCAGTCAATGTGTTAACTCCTCTGAGCCTGGTTTATACCCCTGCGAAGAAGGAGGGATACTAATAGTGTTTAATGATGTTGCGAGGATAAAACGAGATAATAAATATGAAGAGGCTGGCAGTGTGCTTGTCACACTGGAGATGATCCATCCCCGGTAGCTGCTGTCGCCTGGTTCACTTTAGAAGTAGTGATTCAGAGAGCCCCTTACTGTGCCTGGCGCGGCACAGCTACATATGCTAGACGTGGGCGAAGGGAAAAGCTAGCCTGGCCTGAATAGAATAAATGCTTGCAATGTTTCGCGGAGGAATCCAGGACAAGCTATCCATAGCTACAGCATGCATCGATCCAATGAGATGAGGCATGTGGCAGTAACGCGCTGGGAAAAGCCAGGCTGGCTGCTGGCAGTGGTGAGTCAGCCCCAGCTTCCTCTGTGCCCCACTGAGTGGCTCCAGACAAGTCACGCCATCGGTCTCGGAGGCCATTCCTCATCTGTAGGGACTGGACACCTGAGGTCCCTCCCAGTACTCAAGTTCTTATTTCTGCTACTTTAGAAATACCTACTTTTTTTTTTTTTTTTGGTAAATTCAAGTCATCAAATAATTCTGTTTCCTCATGTTCAAAACTAATTTACAAAACTAGCCCCGGAAACACCTAAATAAATCAAACCAATAAAATATTTGTCATGTGTGTTCTATTTGCTGAAAGTCCTACTTTAGCAACATTAAAGAAAAAAACCAAACCACAAGGCTTCATTTTTCTATGGCTAACCAAGCCTTCCTGTCTAGCCTTTAACTTACGATGTCGTCAGTGATTTCCAACTGGCCAGCTGCAGCAGTTCAGGTAGGTCACGCCTGCATTGCAGTCGCCCTCCGGACTGATGATTTCCTGTGTGTCCAGCGTGTTCCCACTGCTGCTCAAAAGAGGACACAAGACCCCAAAGAGGCCGTTGGAGGAAAAGGCTTCAATGTGGAGAACCTCACACTTAGGAAGCCCAAGAGCCTGGCCCTAACATTTCTCCAGTAATGAAACAAGAGACAACAGGTGTTAGCTTTGTTTTGGATACAGAGAGTGGTGATCTTCCTTCAATATTCCTTTAGTCCGGTCGCCCCTTCGTGAGCACCCCAACATCCACGCTCCCTACTGGAATGCCCACTTCCATATTCTTGCAGTTCTTACTTGGAAATGTCACTGGTGTCTGTTTGGCAATTCTTGGCATGCCGGTGTGCATGTGCATGTCCTCCCTCTCAGTAGGACATGAGCTCCCCCAGATGAGACAGCATGCCTCTACTCCCCTTCCCATGCTTCCAACAGCACTGCCATGTCAGGGGCGGCAGGGCCGAGGCCATGATGGAAGGCGCTCTCTGCCCAAAGACATGGAAATAAGCCCCTGCTCTGGCGTCAGCCTCCCTACCCTGTCCTGAACCATTGCATGAACTCCTCGCCCCTCTCATCCACTTTACATAAACTGAAAATGAGGAGTCCCCATCTCCTCTGTCATAGGAAGGGAGTTTTCATAAGATCGGGCAGAAATGACTCAGCACAGCCAGCAGATCATGCATAGGCTGCGAGCCAAGGCCTGGCATTGCTCTGGTCGGGCCAGTGGGTTGGGCCCCCTCGGCAGGGCTCCTTCCTGACTCTGCCCCACCATCGCTTGTGCAGCTGTGGGGACAAGGCCAGCAAATGGGGGCAGGAGGCAGATCATATAAACACCCCTTCCCTGATGCAAGGACATAATATTTTGATAACAACTGGCGTTTTTCCATTGGTTCACTCAAAAGGCCACTATGTCTTGCCAGGGCCTGCGGCCTCCACTTGCTAGAGGTGAGAGGGGGTGGAGAGCTTCTTCATTAGTTGGAGGGTGTCACAGGCGGGCAAGTGACCACAAGTTTGCATTGAGGCCCGGCCTTGGAATAGCAGGCACCTGCCAGCACCTGCAGCCTGGGGCGGGCTCACAGGATGGATGGGTTATCTAAGCCCTGTATCTTTACCCACTAAGTACAACCCATTTTCCCACATGACAGAGCCACGTCAGCATCTGCAAGGTCGTGGTGGCAAAAGGAGAAGTGCCCGCCCGCCTGTGTGTGCCGCGCTCTCGCATTTCTGGGAGAGCGTGTGGTCAGCTCTGCAGCAGGCCTCTCTGACCAGCTCACCCTTTACCCTAGACCTCACATCCTGCTGCAAAGAAAATCCAAGGGCCACTGAGACGCTTCTCAAGAGACAGCGTCTGTGGTGGCCTGACTCACAAGTGGCTCCAAATTCCCCTCTCACCTGATCCGTCATTGAGGGCTCCCCAGCTGGCAGTCCTCAAAAACACAGGTCTGATTGCCTGGCTGTCTCCCCTCAGCCGATCTGTCTGCCTGCTGCTGCTGTCAGCTTTCCTCCCAGCAAGACTCAGACTGGCCTTGTCTTGCCCGACAGGGCAGGTGCAATGCTCTCGCGCCTGCCAGTCATCTGCCGTCATAGTGCCCAAGATATGAGCCAAGACAGCGGAGGAGCTCAGTCACTCAGCAGCTGTGATTTCCCACTGACTCTGCCCCACCATGCCCACCACGACCACCACATCCACCATGGCTCCCCATCCCCTCCGCCAGGATTTCTTACCACCCCATGGCTTCCTGACCTCCAGCTCCTGCCCTCTCTCTCTTCTCAGGGCCAGCTCGATGGCTCACAGGCACATCCATCCAACTTGGCAAAGGGGCACATGGGCCAAAGCCAAACCATCCCTCCTTGAACTCTGAGACTATACTAGGAAAACCTCGAGCAGCCAGGATTCTTTCCTTCCTAAGAGCCTCTGGGGGCCTGGTTTCCTCAGGGCACACTCCCAAATAGTCTAGGACAGCACTAAGTGGGCTCCTGCCAACCCCATGCTGGCATTCTCCCCACAGCTGACCCCAGGGTGATCTGAGCCCAATTTGGGCACAGAGCAAAAGGAACAAGCCACCAGTGGGCCCCATGAGAAATCTCCCCACTGCGAGTGTGGCTGTCTTCATGAAATGGTCGTGCCTAACATCTATAGCCACAATGTTCTGAGATTGACTCTGGCGTCCAGCTTCCTGAGCTATAAGTTCCCTAAACCATCAAAATGTTACACTAAAAACAAACAAACAAACAAAAAAACTATTGAAGGCAGTAATGTCTGAGCTGCAATATCTGTCTCTGCTCAGAGACAGAGCATTTAACTTTTCACAATGAACTCGTTTGCACTGTTTGATTTCTTACCTAAGCTTGTATAATTTTTAAGAACTAATTAAAAGTTCTAGGAATCTGAATATTATATAGTATCCGACTTGTAGAGCCTGGGGTTCCAGTAGCATCACAAAAGTCCTGGTTCAGCCATGCTATAATTCACACATATGTAAAATACAGCCGTGATGCTTACGGCCAAGATCACGCCAAGGGCTTTTTCTCACGCACCTGCCACGTTCTCAGCTCTGTGCAGTGGGGACACTGCAGCAGCGACAGCACAAGTCCCTGTCCTTAAAGAGTTGAAGGAGGACGTTTTGCTTTCAGGAGGCCCATTCAGAGAAAGTAGTCATGTCCTAATTCTCAGAGAGGGCCCAGAAGAAAAGGAAAGTGGAGCAGCCCCACAAGGGTGGATTTATTACCAGCATGAATGGACCCTGGTCCAAGACACCCCCAGACACATTACCTAGATAGAGTGGCTCTATTCACCAAAAATCAGTGTCTGTATTTTGTGCCTGAGTCAAATTGCATCAAAACACTCTGAATGGGTATGTTAATCATTCCACAATGTATATGTAGATCAAAACATCGCACTGGTCATTACAGACATATATCATTTTTTTACATGTGCAAAAATACACCACAGCCTAGTTTATTACAGTAAAACTGGAAACTTCCCAAATACACAATATTACAGCTCAAGCAAACTGATTAACTAAATTATAGTACATTCAAATGATAGCTAAACAAGCAGCCACTAAAAATCCTGTTGCCAAACAACAACAAAAAATTAGTGAATAAGAAAATGCTTGTTAAACCTAAAGTGAAAAATGCATGATATATAGCCACACACACATTATTCTTCTAATTTTTTGAGGCTATATTTATGTATATCTACGTACGTAACACATCCAAATTTAATAGTGGTTATTTTTTGTGGGTGGTTTTTATTTTTAATTAAAATATATTGTGTGTTTTCCAAATTTTCTACAATACATACTCCCATTGATACAGAAAAATGTTTCTAGTTAACTACGTGTGCCCTTCAGGGGAACCAGCCAACCAACCATACAGGGGCCTGATGGGAGAAGGAGCCGGGTGGGGCAGGAAGTGGCCTATGCCCTTGGCGACAACCTATGCCTCTGGTCCCCTGGGATTTGTTAGACCTCACCAAGACTTGGGGAGGTGACTGAGGCAGAGACATGCTTTAAGAACAGTTTTAGATTTATAGAATTGCTGTGAAAATAGTAGAGTTCCCATATATCACACACCTACTTTCCCCATTATTAATACGTTACATTAGCACGGTGCATCTGTCACAAGTAATAAGCTAGTATTGGTACATTGTTACTAACTAAGGTCTACACTTTGTACAGATTTCCTTAGCTTTTACCTAATGTCCTTTCCTGTCCTACAATCCCATCCAGGACTCCCCATGACAGGGAGTCATCCCGTGTCCCCAGGCTCCTCTTGGCTGTGACAGTTTCCCATACTGTCCTTGTTTATGAAGACAGTCTTGAGTACTGGTCAGGAATTTCATCGCCTGTCCCTTAATTAAGGTTGTCTGCTGTGTTTCCTAGTGATTAGAAAGGGGTCACAGATTTTGGGGAGGAAGACAACAGTGATAAGGCACCACTTTTGCCAATGCCATCAAGGTGCACACGAGCACCATAACTTACCACTGGTGGTGCCGACCCTGACAACCGGGCTGGGGTGCTAGTCAGGCTCCTCCACTCTTCCACCGCTCCTTCCCTCCCCGAGTGCTGTGGAAGGAGCCCCCATGAACAGCCCACAGGTGACAAGAGGGAGGATGCGCCCCACCTCCTGGAGGGCGGAGTAGCTGCATCATTGCTTGGAAATCTTCTGCAGGGAGATTTGTTTTCCTTCCTTCACTTATTTATTGATCACTTATATCATATTCTTCATACTCTGGGTTATATGCCAATACCACGGTATTAATTTTGTTGCTCAACTGTTCCAGCTTTGGCCACTGAGAGCTTTCACATGGTTCCTGCATCGCTTTGACATAATCCTGTCCTTGTGGGGTTTTGTTGTGTCTTTCTAAGTAGTTCTTTGCTTTCTGGCATGACAAGGTACACCGGGCTCATCTTGGGCACTCCTTGCCCCAGCCCTGGAATCGGCCATTTCTCCAAGGAGCCCTGGGCCCTTTCACTGGAGAACATTAGAACCCAAGATCTGGGCACTGATGTACTCGCTGCTCCTGGGGCATAGTAGGTTCTGGGTGCTCTCAGCTCACAGAGCAATAAGATGTATGTGTATATGCTAACCACTATATATATATATATATATATATATATATATATATATATATATATATATATATCTCATAAATATTTCTATTTTTAACTGTTTGTATCTTTACTAAGCTAAACATGAGTTCTGACTGACATCTCCAACTATGATCTATCACCACATGAATCCTTCTAACCTCCTCCCTTGGTTACCTGTAAATTCCCACTCTGACAGTGAACACCTGGCTGCCACCATCCCCACACAATTACACACACAGCAGTAACAGAATTGCCACCCGGTACCACCTGGGACACAACTTTATCAGTTAGAGCACAGTGTTGTGTGCAGCTCCTTCTACCTTTAGTCTCACAGATGCCACTCCGTTCCGAAGTGACCTAGGACCTTCTCCTCAGCCCCTTCAGGAAGGCCCTGCATGCATCTCTTGGTGTTGTAGGCTGTGTCTTGAGGTGTTTCTTCCAGTAGAGTCACATGGCGAAGTGCACAGGTAAGGACAAACAGCACAGCTAAGGTGTGGACTCCATGCTGCAGCAGTCCACGCTCTGCCCCGCCGCTCGGCCATCAGGCGGCTCTTCCACTGAGGCCTTGCCCAAGCGCACCGGGGACCCCAACTGTGGCCCCTCGGTGACCCTGAGCTCACCCCTCCACATGGTGCTTCAGCCTGAGCTGCTCCACCTAAGGACATATACAGTTTTTATTTGTCAATTATACCTGAATAACACTGTGAGGGGACAACACTATGAAGCAATAAATTAAAGTCTTAGGTTTAGAACTAACCTCCTTTCTACCTCACTGCCCCACACCGACATGAGGCCACACACTGGCACCACCATCACTGCCCATCACGGGGAGGGTGACTGGCCAGTGTTCCCCAGTATCATGCAGGATTGTTGTGGGAATTAAGAAGATGGGTGATACAGGAATTCTTAGACTCCCTTGAGTATGACTATCCTAATATTCCAAGGTTTCCTAGAGGGCTCACAGCTCAAGAATTGGGATATTTTCTCTGCAAACACAGTTTTAGCAAGTCTCAGAAGAAAACTTCCTATACTCCCTTCCTCCATCCTTCTGCTCCTACCCTACCTCCACCTGGGAGATCCTTTGACCTGCTGAACAGTTACCAGGTCTAGCTAGCTCCTCAAGTTCTTCAAGCACAGCTACTCGAAGAAAGTAGAACTCTAAAGAAGCCGTTTGGCCTCCATGCAGCCTCAGCTGAACTACAGGGCTGGGCAGGGAAGACAAGACACCCCTGAGTCATTGCCCAGGGGGAATGGCAGGATATGCATCAGAGCGGGAGCTGCAGCATCTCCCATCACTCTTGCTACCCCGTTGTCCCCAAGCTGGTCCTCAGAACATGATCCAACAATCTGGAGCAGTTTTACCACACCTAAGGGAGGCATCAGAGGCTGCCCGCCAGCCCACTGCTGCTTCTGACTTGTCTGGATCAGGCAGAATCAGAAACTCAGCCCCGGTGTGAGTCACCCCAACTCACTGCTCATGTCATGCTTTTACATCAATCTGGAATGACAAAAATGCCATTTTCTCCCCAAGATTTCCCCAGACTGGGAGAGCTTTAAACATTTCCTAAGCATGCCAACCCCAGGGCCTCGTTTCCCCTCCCGTACCATAGTCCCCATTGTCGTTAGGAAATGTTGGAACCTTCCAGGATTGGAATAACTCAGTGGGTCATCATGCATCTCACAGCTGCTGAAAGAAAGGAAGCCCCAGAAAAAAACAAATACAGGAGAGCTCAGCTGAGGAGACTGGAGAAGGTTCTGTGATCTTGGCAGCAGCCCCCTGAGAGCTCACTCCTCAGATCAGACTTGGGAAAGGACAATGCCACCTTGCCAAGCGCCAGGACTTTTAATGTCCTGTCTTCCTCCCACTGCTCCAGGACCCTGGGGGCCATGACTACATGGGGATGACTCTAGCCCTGGTGACTTTGGGCAGAGTCCTTTGCAAAGTAGATCCAAGGGAAGGAGGGTGAGCAGTGCTGACACAGTGGCTCACAAGGCAGCCCATTCCACTCTGCACTCCTTAATTAATCCTGCTCTGGCTGAAATTCCTAAAACCACCTCAATCTTCACTTTAAAAAAATTAGTCTGGGTCCTAGAAGATCCATATGACTGCATGGCTTAGACCCTGTTTAATCCCATTACCTCCCCTTCTTTCATCCTGCCCGGTCCTGTCCAGGGCCATGCTGGTCTCCCTGGTGCACTCGGCCATCTCTCTGTCTGCTCCATTGAGATCTGCCCTCCAGGGTTCCATGACCTTTGGAAAGGAAAAAGTTTGCTGGTTGGTTGGTTTGCTTTTAATTTGGGTTCCAAAGATTCTCCCAGTGGCATCTTACTTAGGGAACAAATTACAACAATATTTATCGAGTGTTTACCAAGCATTCACTACATGTGAGGCCTTGTACAAAGTATCTTAGTAGTTGATCGTGTTTATTCCTAACAATGTATTCTACCAGGCCAAGGTTCTCCTTATCCTCATTTCACAGACAGACTTGCTGAAGTTGTAAGGTACCATGTTCCAGGTGTGTCCATCCAATTGCATTTGCTGTTTCCTTACTGATGTGGGTCTGTGGTCTATCAGTTACTAAGAAATGATACGTATTCAACCCATGTCTGTAGGGCTGTACCTCTAAATCCCAAAAGCATATCAAATTCACATATCTCCCACCTTCCCACTCCAAAGCACACAAACCACGCTGATCACCCCCTGGGTTTCCTGGTGGTATTTAATAATGCCACTTCAGTGGGTCATCCTAGAAGTCCCAGAATTTTCCTTAACTTTGCTTCCTCAACTCCCACCCACATTCCACTGGTCACTAAGTCCATTCTGATTTTACCTTGAATATATCTTAACTCTCTCCCTTCCATTCTCAGGGCCTCATCATTTCCCCTCTAAACTATCTGTCTCCCAGCCTTGAGCCAGGACATCTCCAGCCCTTTCTCTACTTCCGTGTAGAAAATGAACTTGCTAAAATGCAAATCTGATTGTGTTGCTCGAATATCCCTTGCCTAGTACACCTAGTATACTGGTGTACTTAGGTCCCTGTCTACTTCTTCAGTCTCATTTCTCATCACTTCCCTACAGAGGCCCTGCCTGAAGCCCTTTTTTCTAGACACTCCCCCTGCCCCCTTGGGTACCACTCTTCCTTTAAGATTCAGTATAATAGCAGCTGCCCAAAAATGTGTTCCCCAGTGCTCTGAGACTCAACCACCTGGCCCTCCTCTTGTCCTGTGCACATACTCCATCAGAGCATTTGTAACACTCTATTATAATTATTAAGTATTTTCATCTGCCTTCTCCCCAAAACCAGTGAGCTCCTTGAGATCAGAGACCATGTCTTACTCAAGTTCATATTTCTAATATTTTCCATAGTGACTTTGGAACAGGATCAATGCATGCACACTCCTCTTCCTTGAGGTTCACTGGCCCAGTCACTCCTATGCTGCAGATCAACCTGAACGTGCCTGGTGTGGCTCCCACTCTAAAGCCCTGACCACACCCCCCTCCATATCTGAGCTGCCAGTGAGGCCCAGAGCAGATGTCAGTAGTGTCCACCTCTGAATTAGTTTAAATTATTTCTCAATCATACCTTTCAGGTAAATGGCTCAATACTTCGCAACACTATACAACTCAACTTACTTGAAAAGCCCAGACTATTTTGCAACAAAATCAGGTATAGTTTTGAAATAAGTCAAACCACTAAGGGCAACAGTCTACTCTCCCCAAATTATAGATCTATCAGCTTTTCTAACCAATAGTCTATCTAAAACGTGGGAAAGTTTCTTTAAAATGTAAATTGATGACACTAACTCTCATTTTAATCTATTCACATGAGTCAGGGTCAGTTGGAACAGTGTGATGGATGAGTGATTTCCTGTAGGGACCTGTCTCAAAAGAAATTGCCCTGCTGGGAAGGAGGGAGGACCCCCACCAAATTGTGTACCCTGCCAGGTGCAGGAAGGAGAGACCATGTCCTCATGCTTCCCATGACTGTTCTCAGAAAAGGAAGAAAGCAAAGGATAGATGGCTGGAGGAGTCAGTGTGGGGCAAAGAAAGGGGTCCAGATTAATTAGGGGGCAGGAAAGTTAGGAAAGGGGTTTCCTAAAGAAATTGGGGCTACAGCAGGAGCTGCCACCACAGCCAGAGCTGCCACCAGCCCGTCAGGTACACAGCTTGACCCTGAGCCTGAACTGGCACAGCCATAGCTGGAACTGCTGCCACAGCTGCCCAAAGGTCTTCTTCAACATAGGTGTTTCCTTCCGATGGAAAGATGGGGTTCTTAGATCTGGCTTCTTGTTCTGCAAACTTCTTGAAGGCTTCTGTCCTCTGCACTAGAATCTTACATTTAATTTGATCTGGTTTGTTCTGACACAGAAGCACAAAAGACTATACATAAGGTATTTTATTCCATTTCCCCACATGATGACAAAACAAACCTAATTGGATAAGAGCATTGTAGTTCAATGAGCCATTAAGGGGCCATATTTCCCCAGACCAAAGAAAGCATTGGGGCCAGGCAATATTATACTAATATATCATTTTTTTCTTCTTCATAGGCTCACAGGCATATTCTGACCAGTTTGCAAAAGATGGTTGGATCAAATTGTTTTTGACAAAGCTAGAACTTGTTCACATGGCCAAACTTTAGTTGCCCCAATAGGTAATGTAATGAAAACTATGGACCAAAGTTCTGGCTAAAGCAGCTTTCATGGCAGTTTGAGTTTTTCTTTAAAAGTCCTCTTTAACCTTTTTATATTCTTTCAGTTTCAAATGAGTTTTCAATGTTTTTACATTGTTGCTAGAACTGGCTGCTCCAATTGACCTTGAATTAATGATAACATAGACACTGAGCCCTATCTCAACACCAATAACCCAGCAACCACAGTTCCCAAGCAGGCAGAAAAGAAAATATTTAACAAACTCTACAGTTTAACTCTATAGTGGCAGGTTGATCATTTGAGCTCTAAAATTTTCTTGATGTAATTTTCCCATCAGTTTAAACATGTGCACCATGTGGAGACCAGCTGGAGTCCTAGAAAACCTGGTATCTCTTTAAAACTTTCTTATAGACAGTACATTTATATGCCACATATTAACATAGATAAACACTCAATACAAAGAGAAATTTAAGAGGTTTTAAGCACAAGCCTTGGAAGACCACATCAGACAAAACAAAACTCAAAACAAACAGAATACTTCCAAACAAATTTTTACAAAGGGAAACTGGAGAGAAGTTTTGAAGAATCTTATCTCAAACCAACCAGTACTGCAAATGACCTGTCCTAGGTCCAAATGGCATAACAGACCAAATGGCAAAGACAGAGGATTCCCAGTGTGCATACCAGTTTTGAAGAATGTAGTCCACAGGGTTATATTCAGGGATCAAAGAATTTCCCATAGTCACACACACACAAACACACATACACACACACACTCAAATGGACTGTAGTTCCAACAAATAAGCCTAGGGAGTGCCAAATACAAATAGCTGGAGGTCCTAGTCTCCCAAATGGTTGAGGCTTCCAAGCCAAACAGGATTCCCCTGAAACTCCCCAAATGGAGAGAGGAGTTTTTCTGCTGCCGACTGCCCTCAAACAGCACTCACCTATTGGGGCACAAATGCCAAAATTCAAAAGTCAAAGGTCCATTCTTTCTTGACAATCAGGGATGCATTTGGGGCTGCTGACAGCGAAGTGGTGGTAGAAACCAAAACCAACCTCCAGGAGAAACTCAGCCAGGCAGCTGCTAGGGAGGCCTTAAAGTCTCTCCCCATACAGGCCACCAAATTGTTAATGAACCCACAATAGAGGTGCACTGTTACCGCACAGAAAGCCCATTACTGAGACAATGAGGATTGTCAAGGAAGAAAGTGTTTATTACAGTGGATGCGTCCACTGGGAGGGGGAGATATAAACTGCCTCAGATCTGCCTCCCCAGTCAACAGTGTCAGGGGTTTTTCTGGAGGTGAAATGGATAATGCCCGAGTGAATGAGCATCGTTCCCTGTTTGGGGTGGAGTGCAGGGCACACAGCGCAGTGAGGAATCATGCTTGTACTCACATCTCATGATCAAAAAATGGCAGATAGATTCCTCCCAGGGTGGGGATTTTTAGTGTTATAATAAGCCAGGGATTAATATTGGTCATTCTTCCAGCCTTGTGCACAGGCTCAGTGGGTCCTTGGGCACAATCTGTGGTGGAGTATTGCTTGTCTTGTCTTCTCCGAACAAAAAGGTGGGTAGTTCCTAGAACAAACAGAGGCTCCACTGTTTCTAGGAAAGAAACTCAAAAGGAAATGCATCAGTGCAACAAAAAATTACAAAGTTCTGGTCAGCAAATCTTACTGATGTGGGAACTGGAAACATAGGAGAACTATAAAAAAATGTTTTCTTGCTTATGGAGCTGGTTACATTCTATCTGTGGGATCATAGTTTTCAGGAGTTCTGAGCAATTCTCAGCCATCTCTTTAAATATTGCCTTTTCCATTCTCTCTATTCTCCAGCGGGACCAATGTCACTTCTCATTGTACCCTCTCTATCACTTCTCCTCTCTTTTATAATTCCCACTTAGTTTTATAAATTACTTTTGTAAAATTCCCATTTACTTTTTCTGTCTATGCTGAATTCTTAATAATTTCTTCAGAACTACCTTCTAGTTCATTAATTCTTTCTTCATCTATTTAACCCATGCACTGAGATATGTATTTCAACAATTATATTTTTTACATATAGGAGATTATTTCATTTTTTTCAAACCTGACAGAAAGAAGGAATTTAAGAGATTTCCTTTTCTTACAGGGAGTCCAGAAACATATTTCAAAAACTGTCCCATCTAAAATTTATTTGTTTTGAGTCAGGTGGACCCTACAGAGTCTATACTCAGCCATAAGCATAAATCAGCCAAAAGCAGGAATCTGTATTTCATTCAATAGACAATGAGGGAACCACTAATGAATGGGGGCCAGGGATGATGGGAACCAATCTAGACTTCAGAAAGAAAACTGGCAATAAAGCAATCTGATTCTCGATCTAGTTTTCCTTGTCTCTTAGTGTCAGGAGTGCAAGAATCATAGTCTTCAGAAAGGTATGGCAATGGCAATCACGTATTCAGATTTCCTAGGAAAATACAAATTTTAAGTATTTAACCTCACAGCTCTCACATGCATGATGTATTTGTGAGAACTCTAATCCTACTTCTAGCTTGATCAGATACAATCACTGTGAATACGGCCTTCATCATAAATGGAATACATCGGCATTCTGGTTTGTTAGTCAATCCCTTCTGACTCTGAGTTTCATTAATTAGACCCCAAAGAGTTGAATCCCTGACAGTTCAATAGAAAGAAGCAATGCGTGGGCAGGTGATGCTGCAGCCAAGTGTTTGAACAGTGGTGGCCCCACCAAAGGGCAGACACTCCCCAAGCAGCCAGCAAAGCTCATTTACAGCAACCTGGAGACTTGCTGAGGTCCCTCTAAGAATCTGATTCTATGAGTCATGCTCCATGGGCACACCCCAAATTTCTGTTTGTTTTGGAAAACTCAATTACTTACTCTTTACAAAGATACGTGGTAAGAAGAATAATTAAAGCGAGGTGTTCAAAAACAATCAGCTTACTACTCATACTATCAGCAAATTTTGTCAACTCATAAAGTCTGCTAGCAGGCAAGTGAAGAAAGGTGGCATGTGTTCAAACATAAATATAAAATGGTTAAGGAAGAGAAATTGGTAGATGTAACCACACCCAGTTGTATCGGTTACATTTCAAATTTCCTGGTTGCGTTGGTGCAGGTGCCTGACGTGACAGGCGACAGCATGAAGGTGAGGGAGAGGGCTTGGAGGGAGGAAGATGGGGCCCCAGGAGGGCTGGCTGGACTGACCTGGGAGGCACAGGCCGGACCTACTTCAGAGGCGGAGCCCACACTGATGGATGGGGCAGGTGGCGAGGGAGCAGGGAGGATCCCAGGACCAGTACTTACATTTTTACTTGACCAACTGGGTAGTTGGAGTGCCATTTAGTGAGAAGTGGGAGGCTGGGGAGGGACGGGTTGGGCAGGAATAGCAAGAGATCTTCTGTTTAGGACAGAAGCTAAAGGTGCTTAAGCTAAAGGTGCTTATGAGACAACCAGGGGACTAAAGGTGTTAAGCTAAAGGTGCTTATGAGACAACCAGGGACTGTGCCAGGTGTGCAGTCAAAGACGTGAGCCTGGCAGACATCCTGAGCCACCTCCTGAGCCAACACAGAACTTCTGGGCGGCTCACTCGAGTTCTCTCAAATAGGCTCCAAGTGTCACAACATTGATAACCTGTGAACTAGACCACCAGATTAAAACCCCACTGCATGGCTTTTAAAGACCATCTACACAGCTTGGCACACCAGGAAACCACTAAAGCTGCTCCACTCCATTTTTCATAGAAAATATTCCCTACCTGTCCTAAAGCGGGGTTCTGCACCACTCCCAATCCTCTCCTAAGTGCCAGTATTCCTCCTCCCTGGACCAAAACCCTCATCATTTCCCAACATGGATGGGCCTCCATTCTCACTCTGTTCCCCTGACCCCCACTCCCCTACCCTGCCTGGATCCTCCTCCTCAGCCCCAGTCACTGTTTTGTTCCTGAAAGGAGAGAGAGAGAGAGAGAGAGACAGAGGCAGAGAGAGAGAGAGAGACAGAGACACAGACAGAGAGAGACAGAGAGAGAATCCAGAACACTTACTGGCTCATGGCTGGGTGGGGCATCTGGGAGGACGGTGGTGTCCTTGGGAAGCCACGCCCTTGGCACTCTGGTCCCCAGCTTTCTCCTTGGCAGACTCCCTGCTACCTTCTTTCCTGCTATGCTATGGCTACAGGGGCTAATTGCCCCACTCACTCTCCCCGGCACGTCTTCCCAGTCTGGCTCAGATGCCACCTCATCCTTGAAAAAGAAAAAGAAAAACTATTACGAACACACTTCATTCCAGGAACACAGCTTATCTCCTCTAACTCTCACAGCTACCATGGCTGGCAGGTGTTATCATACCATTCACGGGTGAGCAAACAGGCTCAACGAGTGCAAGAGGACATAGCTAGTTCATGACAAAGCCAAAACTCAAGCCCGGGTCGGTTGTCACCAATGTCTGTACCCTTGACCACTACATCATTTTACCTCCAAATCCAGCAGCCTTCCATCCTGACCACACACTGGGATCACCTGCTGCCTGGACCATGCCTCAGACCAGTCACAGAGAACCTCCTAGGGTGGGACCCTCCAGAGTAGCTCTCCAGGTGACTCCAGTGTGGACTCAGAACTGAGAACTACTGCTCTACTCTCTCTCCTCCTTCATCTCTTCAAAGGTATCTCTTGCTCCCTCTGAACTCCCACTCCACTTAGTTTCTACCTTCAATCATTCCATCATGCATTCGTTGAGCCAGTCAGTCAGCAGTCACTCACTGTCCCCTCCAGGACGCCAGTCACTGTGCAGGGCTCTGGGATCAATGTGAGACAAGACTGATGCTTCCTGCCCTCATGGAGCTTGCTCTGCAGCCGAAGAGACAGTGGATTAAATGTAGCAGGTGAGAAATGTACACGAATGTGAAAAGCAAAACTTTAAGAACAAAATCTAGAATATCTTTGTGACTTTGGGGTAGGCAGGGACTGCTCACCCACAATACCAAAGGCATAAACCATAAATGAAAAACTGATCAATTTGCCCTCATTTAAATGTTAAACTCTTTAACATTTGAGAAGCACCATTAAAAAGTGATAAGATAGCTGGGCATAGTGGCATGTGCCTGTAGTCCCAGCTACTCAAGAGGGCTACTTGGGAGGCTGACAAAGGAGGGTTGCTTGAGCTCAGGAATTGGAGGTTGCAGTGAGCTATGATGATGCCACTGCACTCTAGCCTGAGCAATGGAGTGAGACCCTGTCTCAAAAAAGAAAAAACTCACCATTCAAAAAATAATAATAAATAAATAAATAAAAAGAACACAATTAAAGACATGATAAACTGGAATAAACTCAAACGTTAACCAAAATATTTCTAGTAAAATAATAAATACATGAATAAAATATATTTGGTTCATAAAAAAATTGATAAGGTAAGCCACAAACTGGGATACAGTATTTACAACCCATACATTGCACAAAGGATTGGTGGTACATTGCATTCAGGATGTCTAAAGAACTCTTACAAATATATTTTTAAAATAAAAATGATCCAGCAGAAAAAGTACATGCATTTCATAAGAGTAAATACAAATGACTAGTAAATATTTGAAAAGATGTCAAACCTCATTAAAAATTACAAAAATGGAAATTAAACCACAATAAGATACTATTTTACACAAAATAGAGTGCCTGGCTACACCAAGTGTTACCAAGAATCTGGCATGACAGGGCTGCAGAGATACTGCTGGTGGGTGCCTCAGTCACTACTGCAAACAGTTACAATAAAATGTAATACAACAGGTGGAGCAGAAAGTGACACATGGCCATAAAGCAGGTGGGACAGGAAAAGGTCCATGAAAACTGAGATCTAAGGGCTGAATTACGGCTATCCAGCTGAAGGAAGGGAAAGCTGTTCCAGGCAGAGGGAGGATGAGCATGGTCTGTTCAAGGCCACAGACAGGGGTGCACAAGGGCCAGGTCAAGAGGCCTAAAATTATGTCAAAGAGCTTAGATGCTAAGAGCCATGGGAGACTACTGGGGGTTTTAAGCAATGACATACCATTCAGTCATTTGTTTATTAATTCATTCATTGCAAAACTTCACTGGCATCTGCTGTGGGCCAGGCCCCACATAGGTTCTGGCTCTACATGATTGCATCTATTTTGGAAATATCACCCTGGATGTGGAATAAAGTTTAAAATCAAATATGATCAATGTGAAAATAAAACAAACATTAAAATAAAACAAAACCCTCACACAATAACAACCAAAAGAGCCCAAAGCAGAATGAAAGCTTTCCTGGAGGACCTGGGGTGGGTTTGACTGGCACAGGACCCGAGAGAAGTTTCTGAAGTTGTGAAGTTGCATAACCTTCTGAATCTTTATAGGGGTTTAGGTCACACAGGTAAATGCATTTGCCAAAATCCAGTGAGTGAACACCTAGGATTATTGTATTTCATTCAATGTCAATTTTATATCTAAACAAAAACCTATAAACAAGAATTGAACTCCAAATGCTGAATTCTGTAATTTAATATGAACTGTATCAGAATAAAAGAACTGTGGTTGGATGGGTAGATGAACAGGATGGGTAGATGAACAAATACGTGTAGAACAAGCATAGGAAAATGTTATTGGTAGAATATAGGTGGTGCACATATTGGTGTTAAATATTTTCAATTATGTTGTGTGCTAGAAATGATTTATAATAAAAATGTTGGAAACATAAAAAAAAAAAAAAGAATAAGTGGAGGCTCACACAACTAGAGGTAGAGGGACCACTGAGGAGCTGAACTGGGAGTTGTCTGGACCATGGCAATAACAGAGATAGAGGACATAAATGCACAGAAACATGTGGAAGGCGAAGGAACCAGACATGACTATTGATCAGATATGGGGTAAGAGCGGTGGGTGAGAAGAAAGCCTCAAGTTGATAGTCCCAAGTATCTAGATGGATGGTAAGATGAGCATGGGCCAGGAATCAAAGAGGACTGCGGGGTGTGGGTGGTATGTCAGTATGGAATCTTTAAGGGGTAGTCAGAAGACTATGCAGGAGACTGGGAAGGGAATAGCAGAAGGAAGACCATGTGGTGTTGCAGAAGCTGGGACAGGAGGAGGTTGTAGTTCAAGAATAAATGAAAATGATCAATGGTGTGAAATGCTGCAGGGAAAGTTGTTTTAAAATGCTGAGAATTAATTATTCATTGACCATGAGACAGGAATGACTTTCATGAGGGAAGCTTTGAATAAATGGTGGGGAAGCAAACTTGCTGAGGGCTGAGGAGTGGGAGGATAAACTAGTGAAGGCACTCTCGAGAGAGAGGAACAAAACAGTGGGTAGGGAGAAGGTATTGCCTCATTGTCTTATTTTGTTTTGTTTTAGATCAGCAAGACTTGAATGCATCTGGTGAGAAGAAGCCAGTAGAGAGTACAAAATTAAAGAGTTGGGTCTTGCTGTCCACATTTTAAACATGAAGACATCAGGCCAGGAAGTTGAGTGACTTCAGGGGCACAGCTGGGAGGGCAGAGCTACATTCAATCTCTTCTTTGGTTTCTCCAACTTCCCCACTGAGTGCCTTTGCAGTCCCCCAGCCCACTTGTTGAGTGCATACCATAGGCAAGATGGCACAGGAGGAGTGGGTGTGTGCGATTTTGTCACTGCCCTCTAGGAACTTATACACTGGGGAGGAGGGCCAACCAGTCACATTCAGAGCAACCCCTACTAACTAAGGAGCCCCGTTCCCCGGGGGAGGCTACGTTGAAAGGTTCTTTTCTAGGTATTGAGGTGATGGGTCTGTTTGGCTCAGTCTGTTTGCTCGTTCTAGTCAGAAAGAAAGATTGATTCCTTTCTGACTAGAACTTTAGAGAGTAAAAGGAAACTTCCATGCTCTAGCACAAAATGAGCCTGAAGTGAATTCTATTGTACCCTTGATATTTCAAAATAGTGTCGCCTATAAAAATCAACCTTTGGAAGGAGGAAGTCAAGGAACTTGCTGGATTTCACAAAGGCTAGCTAATTTATTGAAATCCAGTTGTCTACAGAATAACATCATTAAAGAAAAAATTATCCAATGATACTTGTTAATACACAGTAAGGAAGACTTTATTCAAGACGACCAACATACATATAGAAACCACTGCAATGTTTTCTTGCAGTGCAGGGAGAGAATTTGGGCTCAACTCTGAATACAGCATAGGCCAGTGGGAACTTACAGCCAAGGAGCAGGGTGGGGGTCCATAGATGGAAAATTACTAAAAGAAAATTTCAGTGATAAAGGGGGTTCTGGCTACACTAAGCTAACAGGATCCTTTCCAAAGACAGGCCAGTGTGGATAGACGTCACCTGGGAGATAGTGGAAGATAAGAAATCCTATTAACTATCAAGGGCGATCAGATATCAAGCACAGAGGGTTCTTGCTAAAATGACTTAGCAGGGTTCTTGCTGAAACAGGATTTTATAAGGAAGTGCACAGATGGGCTTAGGACATGGTTCAGGAGTCGGACTAAAATTTGGTCAAGCAGAGAATCTTGGTGAACATTAGAGCTAAATGGTCTGGCAAACAGTAGATGCTAAGCCAGCAAGGGTGATATGAGTTCAGAGACAATGTTAAGGGTTTATTCCTTGCCACCCCACCCCGCCACCCCCATCTCCACTCAGTCCAGTCCAATCCCCTTGTAAGGAGACAGTCAGGCGGGCTCCCAAATCCTGGCGACAGGACTGACTGGGCAACTTCCGCTGAAGAGTGACCCAGGGTTGGTGTTGAGATTTCGGGGCCCTGGGTTTCCCCAAGAGCACAGTGCAGTGCCGTGCCCTCTCTCCACCCCAGCACCCAGCGTAGGCAGGAAGAACTCGAGCTAGAAGTCAGGTATCTGCGCTGGGGTCTCGGACCTACCTGATCTGCCAGCAAGCCTCGTTCCTCAGCTAGAACCTGACCTTGGGAGCTCTGTCAGAGAGGTGAGCTGGAGGTCTCAGGTGCCTTTAAGCCCCTTTGGAAGAGGACTCTGCTGGAGAAGATCATTCTCTGGACAGAACAAGCAATTTCAGAAGGAAGTCCCATGCAGAAGTGAGAGAAGGCAGAGAAACTTGCCCAGTCAGCTAGAGCAGAGCAATCTACCAGGAAGGACCCAGGGATGTGATCCTCTGACCCAAAGGCACTGAACTAAATGACTCTAAAATACTTCCCAGGGCTCACATTCTTTGGAGAACAGGGAGTAAAACCTAAGACAGGAGCCAGCAAGAACTAGCAAGTGAGGACTTGTGAAGAGGTGGCTCATTTGATCAGTCTCCACTCAACAATTTTAATCACCCAGACTAGCCTCAGGACACATGAACAAGTCACAGGGCCTGCTTTGATTGAGCACACATCATCCGTTAACTTTGACAGATTCTTTCTGGAACTATCACACCAAACACCTCTCCTTGTCAAAACTATTTGGCCCTGTGTGATAGCCTTATAGATTCTTCATGAGATGCTGGTAGATTTTCCAACCCACAAGCATCAAGGAGGAAAAGAAACCCCAAATCAGAGGTTGGCAAATTCTGGACTAGCTATCCATGGCATTAAAGGTTTGCCTTTACACAGAAGTCTAACACCTTTTCACAATCAAACATCTTTATTTTACATTGCTCAGTAATTAGGGGAGATCAACCATCTAGAGTCTGGGTCCTGAACTTGGCCAACAAATGCACCCATCAAATCTTGAGCAGCCTTGCTAAGAACTTCCTCTCCCAGAATATAGAAAACTCAGTTCCAGCCAACGAGGAGGAAGTGACTGAAGAAGTGAAATTCACAAAGTCCTAGAAGGAAATGCCAAATCACCTTTGATTATGTAATAACCAGGGAGTAGAATACAGACCCCACAGACATTTCAGGAGAGAATATTTTGTCACCGATTTTAGAAGAGGAGTATTTTTAAGCATCATAAGCACACAATTCCAAGGATAGAAACACTAATGAGATTTTTTTTGACAGTGCTGGAACAAAGTCTTAAAGAAGAATAAAAGGACAAAAGAAATCCAGCAACAGATCTGCCAGAGCAGGTGAGAAAGTAAACAGGCATAAAGAAGGAACTCAGAGAAGGGAAGAGAGAGAACCAAAAGCCCTGATTTGGAAAGTCCCAGTGCTACCCTCAGAGAAGGAGAAAGAAGCAGTATGTCATGTCAGGAGGAGAAAGGAGGGAGGGGAAGGGAGCAGAACACACCCTAATCCTAAAAAGACAGTGTGGAAATACATGGGGGTAGAGTTGCTGAGATATGTGAACCTGCCAAGCCAATGTGATTTAGAATATGATCAGATCCTTGAGAAAGGGGTCCACAGATGGGCACTGTGGGGGCAGGAAGAGACAGGGGCAATAGACGTTTGTAACAATTAAATGTGAGAAAGAAGGATCTGGTTTGGGTTCAACTAACCCATGTTTGAGTTGTGCTTCCACCACTTACTATTTATGTGGTCTTAGGTAAGTTACTTCTCTTAGCCTCAGTTCCCTCATAGGTGAAATGAGTCAATACTATCTACCTTAAAGATTATTGTGAGGACTAAATAAGATAATGAGAAAAAAGTACCTGGCACTTACTAGGTGCTCAATAAAGAAAAGCTTTTTAAAAAAGTATTGTTTTTTAAATTTGTATGTAAGAAAAATGGTATAATACAATGTTATAAGACAGGGGCCTGCAACCTATGACCTGCAGGACAAATCCAGCCCAGCCCATTCATTTACCTCTGGTCTATAACTGCATTTCTGAAACAACACAGAGTTGAGTACTTGCACCTGAAACATTGACTGTCTGGCCTTTTATAGAAAATATTTCCAGAACCCTGGGTATCAGAGCCTTCTCTATGCATAGTTCATTCTCATAAAGTGTGAGAAAAGATATAGAGTAGGAAAGCCCTGCCATCTGCCTTACCCACCCAGGGGCTTTTTCTGGTGGATCTAAAGAAAAGACAAGGTTTTATTGGCCTCTCAAAGGTAGAATAATAACTCAGGCAGTAGGGAAAAGCCATTGGAGACTATATACCTAACCAGACCCAGCCACCTGCTCATATATCTAAGCCCTCTTTGTTCTAGACCAGGGAGGAGAATGGAATGTCCCTGGATTCTACCTGTTCCCTCTCTCAGCGCCTGGATCCAAGAAGGGGAACAGGCCCATTGGAGCCGCTGCCATAAGATGAAGGGCAGAGGTCTCAAAACTGAAAGTCATATTGCCCAAATAATCCCAGAAGCAGAAAGAAAAGAAGAGAAATATCCACAGAGGCAGGTGTGGGTACACAGGATATTATTCATACTTTCAGATACCAAAGAGACCCATGAAAATGATAGGAGAAAAATGACAGACTGTCAAGTACAATGTTAGGAAGCCAATGCCAAGACCGAGAAGGGGCTTGGGGGAAATGGTGGCGGCAGTCATTGCTTGGATCTGTGCAAGAGGATGACCAAGAAAGGAATAGTCCACTGCAGAGAGCAGACATCACTACATGGACACACAATAATATAAGAACTAACCCATGATTATTTTGCTTGTCTTCTTGTTCAAAATGGTTGAAGACCACTGGGGTGAGGTCAACCTTGTGACAGGTTAGGAAGCCCAAGATCAGAGACAATATGGCACCAGGGCACTTGCTGCTTTGAGTAAATGCCAGTCTCATGTCTTAGAGGAATGAGCTGCCAGGTAGAGAGGAACTTGCAACTGAGAAGGGCATGAGTGACTCAAGAGCTGAAGAATTCCCCAAAAGCTGGAGCTTCCCATGGCATCGTGGCATTGCCACTTCCCTGCTTTTGACCATTTCCTTGGGGCTACATCACCATCTACATCACCGTCACTCTTCTGCTCCCACCCTTAATGCAACTATTTCTGTAGTGAGACATTTTCCACTCATTGGGGACCGGAAGGAAGTGCTGTGGCCTGAGCAGTCCCCTTAGGAAGCCAGGGTTTCGTGCAGACCTTGCACAACTTGCCTGCTTGACACAAGAGGTTTCACTTCCTGAGATGGACAGGGTGGTGGCAGGTTTTGGGTCCAGGCTACAGGGCCAGGATGAGACATGGCAGAACTGTAGAGACTGTTGCATCAAGGGGCATTACCTTATGGTTCCAAAAGTTCTCTGGAGCAGAAAGAATCAGGGGCTGAATACTAGCATCACTTCAACCACACTGTGATATTGGATGAGTCACTTCACCCTTCCTGGTCTTGGTTTCTCCGTCTGTTATTCACATTCAAGTAGCTTCCTGTGTCTTCATCTCCATGGTCCCACTAGATCCTAGCAGACAATCTTTAGGGCTCCTTTCAGCGGGCAGAGTATGAGGTACTGGAATGCTACGATTAGAAGATGGAGAAGTGGAAATAGCTCTAGGTTGCTGACCTATATCCCAAGCCCCAGAGGAGAATAGATTAACTCAGAGCTGACACTTGTGTCCCTTGCATAGTCCCCTTTCTGTCACTGGCTTTCATCCCCCTTTGTGCAGTTTGTAATCCCCCCAGCAGACCGAGGGCATCTCTGTGTGCCCTGTCAGGAAAGCCCACAGTCACCGGACCACGAGGCCTTGCTGGCTGCAGCACAGACTGCGAGGAAGGTGGCAGTTCCTACAGTGGGGCTTGGGGCCCAGGGCTTAACTTGCAAAGTGGATCCTATGGAGGCAAAACAGAGGAGTCCCCTAGGCCACCCAAATGGAGCCTCTGCAGGACCAGACACCAAATTTTGTAAAGGCTCAGAGTTGGGAACTGATTGTTGCTTACCAAACTCACAAGAAACTCATGCGTTGAACGGCCCTTAGATTGCCTGTGGAAAATGTAACTTACCAAAGATGGAATTCTTGTGTCTGCCTTCCTGGTATCAAGGTAGTGGTTGCCAAAGTAAGAATCAAAAGGTTGCTTGGTGAGCAAGCCCACGAAGCTGCCCCTGCCCTGCAGCAGAGCCCACTTCCCTCACGCCAGATGCCTCACTCTCAAACCCACTCACAAGGGGTCCCTCCCCTGGGTCACACAGAACAAGCACAGTGCCTGGCACATAGCAGGCACATGCTTATTTGAATGAAAATGCTGCCAAATTCCCACTTACCCATTCAGGCAGCAAACACTACTGCCTGAATTCACATGCCAGACACTGTGCTAGACTTGGCTCAAAAAGAGTTTGCAGCCTCCTGGGGGAACCAGAAAATTCAGCAAGATTTCAAGTCAGTGCTGTAAGAAGTGCTCTAATGTAAATGTGGCAAAGGGACTAGGGAAGGTGTTCCTAGACTCCGTGTACCATTTATAACCTGCTCGCTCCTTCATTCTACAATGGAATGCTACCCCGGGGTGGTACCCAGAGCAGGCACTCTGCTAGCCTCTGAGTTAAACAGAATCTGGTAACTCTTAGTGTCACCAAAAGGTATAGTCTTAGCTGGATATTCTTATAGAAACAATATTCCACCTTTCAGAGTTTACTGAAACATTCTTTTAGGCAGAGAGTATCTCCTCCGAATTTCAAAAAGGGATTGTGATCATGAATGCTTGACTTATTCACCACCTTATCAAAGTATGACTTAATTCAGGGTGTTTCACTGGTCACCTAGCATTGATATGGTTTCACCATGAGATTAATGAGGGCAACAGCTTCTGGTCTTATAGGGTTGCATGAGCTTGTCTCTAGGATTCCCCCAGCTCTGTCAGGAGCCTGCACACATGCACACCTGTACGTCACCTGCCCCATCCACAGGAGGTCAAGTGTTTCCCCAGAGGCTCCTGCAGTCAACAGAGGGCTCCTAGGTAGAAAACAGGGCCCTCACTCCAGACAGGGAAGGGCATTGTCACTTCATTATACCCATTTATCCAGTTAGGAAGGTTCCCAAGGAGGTGAGTGAAGGAATGTATTTGTGTGTGTAGATCTGTACATCCTCCACTTTGGCCCAGATAGCCTAAATTTACGCATTCTTCTAACCCAGGAAAATCCAGCATTTTAATATTGACATCAACTGCACAGTGATTATCAGAAAAACAATGCATGATGACACATTTGCAAAATGTGTCATAGTTTGCTACTCCTGCCCTTCCACGAACTAGAGAGTTATTTATCAGCTCCCTTCCCTAAAAGTTCACACGA